TTTTTCTGAGACGGAGTCTTGCTCTGTTGCCCAGGCTGGAGTGTAGTGGTGTGATCTCAGCTCACTGCAACCTCTGCCTCCCATGTTCAAGCAATTCTCCTGCCTCAGCCTCCCAAGAAGCTGGGATTACAGGCATGCACCACTACACCCGGCTAATTTTGTATTTTTAGTAGAGACGGGGTTTCTCCATGTTGGTCAGGCTGGTCTCGAACTCCTGACCTCAGGTGATCCACCCACATCAGCAAACACCGTCACTTCCAACTAGAAAGTGCTTTGTGGCCAGGCGTGGTGGCTCATGCCTGTAATCCAAGCACTTTGGAGGCCAAGGCGGGTGGATCACCTGAGGTCGGGAGTTCAAGAGCAGCCTGACCAACATAGTGAAACCCCGTCTTAGTAAAATAAAAATAAAAATAAATAAATAAATAAATAAAAGAAAGTGCTTTGTAAACACAACAACGAGAACACATGGACACAGGGAGGGGAACAACACACACAACAAAATTTAAAAACAGGTGAACATAATTTTAATAATATTTTTATTAATACTGATATGCTCAAAATATTATTTCAACAAGTAATCAAACTTATTGAGATGTCTTATGTTCTTTTCATAATGCTAAGCCTTTAATATTTGGTGTGTATTTTATGCTCACAGCACATCTCAATTTGGAGTCTCCATGTTTCAAGCGCTAAATAACCACGTGTGTCTGGTGGCTGCCATACTGGACGGCGTTGATCTGAAATCGCATCTGTATGCATCTCCATCATATCTGCAGAGGCTGCCATCTCAGCTGCATACCTGAAGCTCATCTGCAAAAGCACCTGCAACTTCTCCACAACCTCCCACATCACCTGCAAACACACCCTCAAGTCACCTGCAAACACACCCACAGCTCACAGGCCAATGCCTAAATCTCACTGCAGGGATCTTCAGAGAAAGCGCTTCTCAAAGGAGTAAACTTGATTCCGCATCTGATTTGACCTGCGACTCACCCCTCCCCTCTGCATATATTTGCATCTCATCTGTATGTTAACCTAAATGCACTGGCGGAGCCTCAGATCGTCATCTCAAAGTCAGGCAGCTGTGGGGCTGGGCAGGCCTCCAGGTGTTCCTCCTCCTGCTTCCTCTGGGGCTCTTCATCCTCTTCCTCTTCCTCGCCGCTCTCCTCCTCCTCCTCCTCGTCCAACATGGTGACCAGTTCCTCCCGCAGCGCCCCCATCTCCAGCCCCAGGCGGCACAGCTGTCCCAGCAGCTGGACATCCATTTGGCGAAGGTTCCCCTACCGGTAGGAAGGGGGTGTCACAGGGATGCCACCCCAGAGAGCAAGGGGGCTCTCCAGGACCTGGGTGAGAGCAGGGCCCAGCTCACATCCTGGCCATGGCGCCTGGGCAGGGTCCTCACAGTGCCCCTGGACCCTAACCACCTTCCTGCTTCTCAGAGGGTGTCTTCATCTCTAACTCTGTCTCTGCCTTTGTCTCTGCATTTCATTCTCCCTGACTCCTCTCTCTCTCCCTCTCTCTCTCAGTAATATGTCTCTATCTCTGTCCTTGTCTCCCTTTGTCTGTCTCTGTCCCCATTCATTTTTTCTTTCCATGCCCCCGTCTGTTTTGCCATTTTTCTGCCCCTGCCTTTGGCGCTCTCTCTCTCTCCTCTCTCTCTCTCTTGCTTTCTCTCCTCCCCCAACCAATTGTCTCTCAGGTTCAGTCTGAGTCTCTCTGTCTCTGTTCCTGCTCAGTCTCCTCCTTCCCTCTCTTTTGGGATCTCTCTGTCCCCACCTCCATTCCTGTCCCTCCCTCTATTCCTGTCTCTGTGTCTGTACGTGCCTCTCATGTCTCTGCTTCTGTCTCTCAGGTTCCTTCAATCTCTAGCTCTATTTCCATTCATTTCCACTCATTCTCATTCCCTCTCTCTTTCTCTTTCCCTTCCAAACCCCTCACTCACCAGCTCCTCCCAGGTCCACAGCAGACTATCCCAGGCACCTCCAGCGTCTGCCCCTGCAGTCTTGAGGGTCTGGCCAGGGATTTCCACTGGGGAGACCTCCCTCAGGGCCCGGGGGGGTGGGCCCAGTTCCGGGGGCACCAGTCCAGCCTGACTCAGCTGCCTCCACAGCTCCATCGTCTCCGGGCTCTGGGTGCCAGGAGCAGGAAGTAGCAAGGTCCAGGGCAGCCCAGTCCCCCGGGGAGCTGTGTGCATAGTGCAGAGTAAAGGGCAGAGGGAGTGGAATGGGGGTTCCTGGCAAAGGCATCCCAAAGTCCACTCTTCAGAGAGAATCAGCTGGCCTTGCGCTTTTTTCTTTTCTCCTTCTGAAGTCTAACCTCAACTCTGCTCGCAGGGTTCAAACACAACCTCTTGCAGAGGTCAAACTCCGCCCCTCCCTGCCTATCTCAGGCCTGACCCTTCAGGGGCACTGTGTCTGCAGGTTCCTGGCACCCTCTGTCCTTCCACCTGGGCACTGCCCCCTTCCAGCCTTTCCTCAGCCTCCATTTGACCTCTGGTTCGCCCACAGCTTGGTCCTTGCTTGCACTCTCGGCGCGAGTCATTCCAGGGCTTTCGAACCAGTGTGCCTTTGGGGGGCAGAAATGGCTCCAAGGGCACCAACAGAGCAATCCGTTAGCTGCGGTGCCTGCGTCCAGGCTGCTAGCCTAGGGCTGAGCAGCCAATTCTGCTGACCCTGGACTTGCCTATGGGTCTATTAGCCCTGTTGGGGGTGGGGGCTTCTGCTGTGGAAAAGTCTGGGAAGCATGGCAGGCCTCTCTCTCCCTTGAACCCTTCCTTCAGACCCGAGATGCTTGTATATATAGACACACAAAATGGCAGATCACAAGGTCAGGGGATTGGCCAACATGGTGAACCCGTCTCTACTAAAATACAAAAAATTAACCAAGCATGGTGGCACGCGCCTGTAGTCCCAGCTGCTCGGGAGGCTGAGGCAGGGGAATCGCTCGAACCCGGGAGGTGGAGGTTGCAGTGAGCCAAGATATCGCCACTGCACTCCAGCCTGGTGACAGAACAAGATTCCATCTCAAAAAAATAAAAGACAAAATAAATTATATATATGTATATATCTTGCTCTGTCACCCAGGCTGGAGTGCAGTGGTGCAATCTCAGCTGTACAAAAAATATACAAACTTTTTTTTGTATTTTTAGTAGAGATGGTGTTTCATCATGTTGGTCACGCTGATCTCGAACTCCTGACCTCAGGTGATCTGCCCGTCTCAGCCTCCCAAATTGCTGGGATTACAGGCATGAGCCACCATACCCAGCTTGAATTCTTTCCTGAGTGGAGCCAAGAACCCTCCAAAATGGCTAAGCCCTAATTTGGGGACTCACCTACCCTGTGACAGAGCTGCAGAGTTTGGGTGTGGAACTCAAGTGGGAGATCAGGACTGAGGCCAGACACTTGAAAGCCAGTGATATATACATGAAATTGGCTGGGCCTGGTGGCTCACGCCTGTAATTCCAGCACTTTGGAAGGCTGAGGCAGGTGGATCACCTGAGGTCAGGAGTTCAAGACCAGCCTGGCTAACATAGTGAAACCCCGTCTCCACTAAAAATACAAAAATTAGCTGGGTGTGATGGTGCTCACTTGTAATCCCAGCTACTTGGGAGGCTGAGGCAGGGAAATCGCTTGAACCCAGAAGGCAGAGGTTGCAGTGAGCCAAGATCGTGCCATTGCACTCCAGCCTGGGCAACAAGACTGAAACTTTGTCTTAAAAAAAAAATCCAGAATTTGAGCACTTCTCACCATTTCCTCTGCCCATCCCCGTTCATCTCTTGCCTAGACCATTACAGTAGCCTCTTGTACTGGTTGCCTGCGTCTACCCTTGCCCTCTAATGTAAGCATCCCCAATCCCTGGGCCAAGGACCAGTACCAGCCTGTGTCCTGTTAGGAACTGGGCTACACAGCAAGAGGTGGGCGGTGGGCAAGTGAGCATGACCGCGTGGGCTCCAACTCCAGTTAGATCCGCGGTGGCATTAGATTCTCACAGGAGGCAAACTCTATTGTGAACTGTGTGTAGGGAGGATCTAGGTGGCCTGTTCCTTATGAGAATCTAATGCCTGATGATCTCAGGTGGAACAGTTTCATCCTGAAACCATCCCAGGACCCCCACCCCGTGGCCAATGGAATACTGTATTCCACAAAACTGGTCCCTGGTGACAAAAATGTTGAAGACCACTGCTCTCAGGTACATTCTCCACCTGGCAGAAGTATATATATATATATATATATAT